AGTCAAGGGGAAAGCCAGGTTCACTTAACAACTTAATAACCGCAGTGATTCTGTTAACAACTGTGGCGAGGTAGGTCATAAAATGAGGTAAAATTCATTTAACAACTATCTTGTTTAACAACAGAAATTTGGAGCTCAACTGTGGTCATAAGTCGAGGACTACCTATGCGATGGCCAGACCATAAATAAAATGGAGGGGAAACGGTGCAGAACGGAAGGGTTTTGTCTATTCAGTTGGCAATTGAGGGCTTCAAGAGAGGATGGGGGAAGAGGCCGGGAGATTTAGTGACGGAGGGGATCTGCTAAGAACAAACTGCAGCTAATTGAGAAGAACTTGAGCTTAGAAAGGTCTGGAGCAGAAGGGGGAAGTTAATTTGGGAGGGGGGAGGAATGAGAAATTTTAGCCCTGCCTAGAATTGCATGCATCCAGCCATGCACCAAATGTTACCGTTGCATCTTGATGACTGATCTACCCCTTGCCCAAATGGTAATGCTAGCCCAAATCTATCCTTGGGTTAAAGCTGGGGGGCAGTGGTGGGTTGCAGGTGATATGCCCCAGTACGGGCATACCAGTGCCTGCCTGGAGCACTGGGCACCGTTCCAGTACGGTGCTCTGGAGGGCCCACCCGAGCTCCTTACCTGAATTTGAGCTCTTTGGCGCTTCTGTGGACATGCACAGAGTGCACAGAGCGCATGGCGACTCTGTGATGCTCCACCGAGAGCTGAAACGTCGCGGAGGCGTCGCAAGAGGTAAGGATGGATGAGTGTGCTGCGCACGTTCATGTGGTGGACGCCGGGCCCTGTTGCAACCATACCAGTTGCACCGGGATCCAGAACCCACCATTGCTGGGGGGAAAGGGGTGTTGTCTCCCTGAAGTTCACCTGCAACTCAGGAAAGATGAGGGGGCTGCAGCTTAGCTATGACTTGGTGCTCTCTGAGCTTGGTGGCTTTCTTGCAGGTGCTTCAACTGCCAACTAGGTAATATCAGTGTTAATCCTCGCCCTGATGAGGTTAATGAAACACTTGCAAGAAAACCACCAAGCTCAGAGAGCATCATGGGCCCCGCCCTTTCCTCTCCTTCCACTCTGCAAACCCGGCTCCCTTCTAGCATTGACGTTAGCTAGCTGGGTCATGAAACGTCTCCAAGAAAATCACCAAGCCCAGAGAAGACCAAGGACTCCACAGTTCTCCTCCTTCTCCTCCTCATTGCAAAGCCCACTCTTTTTCTAGCACTGAGGATGTGACCTAGTTGGGCCATTGATAAAGGAGAATATTTGTAGCTCAAGGTTGAAATGAGAGGTCCACAGGTGCTCTCTGTACTTCCTTGCTTTCTTCCAGATGTTTCATTGCCCTAACTAGGTAACATCATCAGTGTTACTGGTAGTAAGGAGTGCTGTTTGTTGTCAGTTCGTATGACTGGGCTGCTTACTAATGGCTCTAGTTGGGTCATGAAGCACCTGCAAGAGAGCACCAAGGACCCCATAGGTCAGTGATGGCTAACCTTTTTGTCGTCATGTGCCCAATGCATGTGTGTGCCCGCACACATAATGCAATGCATGCATGACACATCCCTCACACCCCAGTTTGGGCCTAGCAGGTCTCCCTGCAGCCTCCTGGGATCAAAAATAGGCCAGGGAGGATCATGCTCCTCCTGCACATGCTGACATGACCCCCCACGCACAAGCGCTTGCATCTCCCGCATGTGCCATGCCCCTGTGCATGCCAAAATATCAGCTGGCCAGTGGGGAGGCGTGCACGAATGCCTGATGGAGCTGAGCTGGGCTGAGGGCTCTGTGCCCCACCTGTGAGACGCGTGCCATAGGTTCTCCATCACGGTCATAGGTGATTAGTAACATATATGACAGGGTTTTTTTCGGGGGGGGGGAGGGGGATATTTACCTGCCACAATGCACCACCACAGCCACGAGATCATACATCCGGTCTGGGTTTGTAGCATCTCCTGATGTGTTGAAGAGTCGCAGCTCCAGAGGGAAAACCACGCGGTAGGAAAGCTTGGTGTATCGGTGTAGCTGGTCCATGTATTTGAACCTTTTCAAGTGCAGAGCCAGAATCATAGGCAGCTTTTTCACTCGCATCCTTGGGGAGCAATGGAAGATCAACAAAAAAAGAAAACAGAAACAAAAGCAGCTCTTAAAAAAAAACAATTCCACCGAGAGTTTATTCAAGTTTAAAAAATAATCCCAGTGAATAAAGTAAAGATAGTCCCTGACTTACAAACAGAATTGAGCCCAAAAATTCGGTTGTTGAGACATTTGTTAAGTGAGTTTTGCCCCATTTTACAACCTTTCTTGCCTCAGTTGTTGAGTGAATCACTACAGTTGATAAGTCAGTAACCCGGTTACTAAGTGAATCTGGCTTCCCCATTGACTCTGCTTGCCAGAAGGTCGCAAATGCTGTTCAGGAGACTCCAGGAAACGGCTACTGTCACAAATGTGAACCAGTTGCCAAGCATCCAAATCCTGAGGCCCTGATCACCATGGGGATGCTGAAAAGGTTGCAACTATAAAAAAATGGTCAGAAGTCACTTTTTTCAGTGATGAACCGTACTTTGAATGGTTACTAAAAGAACTGTTGTAAATCGAGGACTACCTGTACTGCTTGATAAATCCACCCCACCCCCCCAAAAAAGAAGCCAGGAAAGATATGAAGCAGATTTCCTTAATTCTGGGATGAGTTGAGCTCTGAGCAACAATTGAATGCAAGGCAGCTATTAGTTCAGACCCAAACCACCAACCAAATAAATTGGCTAATATTGACAAAGAAATCAGGAAAAAATGCATTTATTTATTCTCAATTTTTAAAATCCCACCTTTTTTATTGTTTATAAATCAAGTGTGTGCATGCAAACATCTTTTAATTTGGGTATGCGCACATGCGCAGTTTGGGCACTCGGTACCTAAAAGGTTTGCCATCACTGTACTTGCCCAAACTAGGGGCCTTTTGCTCTCCCTCCCCCATACTGCATCAAGAAAACTTGAGTTTGGAGCCACCAACAAGAGTCAAATGCTACAGAAAGAACATCTGGTCCCGTAGAGGATTTATGACACTCCTCTGTCTCTTTCTTTGGCGTGATTAATTTCATGGTTCGCCACCTGGAATTCACTAGTTTTTCAGGCTCCAAAAACCATCAGAGGTCAACTGCTCTGAAAAGCTCCTGGGCCCCAGAATGAGTGAAGCCTCTCCTGGAAGGAGAAGTCAACCCTTGAACTACAGTAAGGACTGCAGAGGAGTTCCTGGTCCACTTTGAATTTGAGGTTTTCTTCAAAGGAAAAAACTGCAGAATTATGGTCATGAGTAATATCAATGTTATCTTTGCGTCTGCAGAGTTAATCATACAAAATAAAAAATGAACAGAATTATGAGGAGCGGGATCAGTTATTCATCTGTTATTCAGCTACTTTTTTCTTTCTCATGTAGAAACTCATTTGGCCATTCTTCACATTTCTGAGATTAAGCCAGATGTTTTTGAATACACCTCAATAAACTATAACAGAAGTCGCATCCATTTCCTCTATATACTTTTTATTACAAAAAGATACAACGAGAAAGTAAAAGCTAACACAAACTAATATAGTGAGGAAGAAGTCACTTATGTGTGTTGGGTGGAAAGAAGAAGGAAGGAAGGAAGGAAAGAAGGAAGGAACGAAGGAAGGAAGGAAGGAAGAGGTAGGTAGGTGAGGGGAAGGAAGGAAGGAAGAAATGCAAGAAAAAAGCTGAAGAAAAGTAACATAGAAAGGAAGAAAAATACAGAGAAGTGGCTTCTAAAATTTTCCCTAACAGTTATAGATAAAACATATTCGACCCTCTCGCTCTAAAGTTCCATTATATTAGTTCTGTTTCCATTATCATCAAAACCACAAATCACAAATTAGAAATGTCTCTTTCATAAATGACAGAAAGATCCTTTTCAACTCTAAAGTGGGGGAGTTGATTCTTTCTCAGCACAGTCTATCTGCCAGGCAGTGTGCTGTAAATGTACCAAGAACCGAAGTCCCTGGTGGGACCCAGATATGTAATAAAAATGCCTCTTGGCCTCACCTCTTCTGTGCTTCCTGTTTACTGCGGCACTGCTCACAGTAGTACTTGTATTCGCTGCACAGTGTCTCGGTGTTACTGAACCCTCTGCAAAATGGAAGATTGGAGCAGAAGTTATCATTTATCAGGTTTTCCAGCACTCAACAGATTTTCTCTGGGTCGTCTGTACAGAGCTTCCCCACAGGACAAAGATCCCTCTGTTTGCAGTGGGAAATGCAAATGTCACACAGCACCACAAAACGGGCAGTTTAATGGTTGAAGCTAATCCCTCTTCTATTTTTTCCCTGTCTCCTTTAGGCCCCCATCCCTAAATGACTCAGAGAAGGAACAGTAAGGAAAAGCCACTTATGACGACTTTGTTAGACTGGGACCTTTTGTGGCTAACATAAATATCACATCAAACAACTGGATTTACAGTGGCCCAGTGATTCAAGGATTTGCAATTGTATGATGGCCAAACCAAGCAAATAACTCTCCCTGAAACTCTTTTAGAAGCCTTATAAAAGGCAGAATACACATAGTTAAATAAAAATAAATAACACTCTAGGAAGCTATTAGTATTAGTGTTGGTTCCGGGGCTTCGGTGTCCTGGGATTAAATAAAGCCTCCTGGTTTTATCTGGCTGCATTTTCTGCTTTTGTTGAAATGTGTACCTCAGGCAGTGGGTGATTGATGTATTTTGTTCCACATCAACCGACAGGTCCAGAAAATCTTCATCTTTGCTGCTTACCTTGAAGAGGTAAAAATGCAGATTTTAGAATCTTTAAGAAATCGAATGAAGAATGTACAACTGTACAGCATCTAATTTGGAGCATTGTTCTCGGCTAAGCCTTTCATCTCAGTGAAGGATCCCCAGCCAGTCACATTCCCTACACTTACTCCTAGGAATGCGGGTTTTAGGCTTGCCTTCATTACAGGTAGTCCTCAACTTATAACAATTTCTGCTGCTAAGCGAGATAGTTATTAAGTGATTTTTATCCCATTTTACAGCCTTCCTGGCCACAGTTGTTAAGTGAAACACTGCAGCTAGTTAAGTTAGCAACACGGTTGTTAAGTGAATCTGGCTTCCCCAATTGCCTTTGCTGTCAGAAGCTGCAAAAGGGGATCACATGACCCTGAGACCTTGTGACCATCATAAATATGAAGCAGTTACCAATCCTGACTATGGGGATGCTACAAACAGTCTCAAAGTGTAGAAAAACAGCAGGAAATGCCTTTATTCAGTGCCATTGTAACTTTGAAGTAAACAAACTGCTGTAAAAGAGGGAGGCCATTTGGAGACTTCAGCACTGACAGGAGTACTGCTATAGTTCCAAAAAACCAGTGACAAATATTATGTTATGGAGTCAAAGGTTATAGGTTACTAGACTCTAATTCAGTGTTTCTTAATCTCAGCCTGTGGGGACTTCAACTCCCAGAACTCCCCAGCAGGCAATTCTGAGAGCTCAGTTGAGAAATATCCCCCACCCCCACCATCCATCCCAGCATTTTTGCAGTGAAGAGACGTTTCAAAAAGAAACATAAAAGTCACGGACTGAGAAACTGAATCCCATAATGAGTGTATTTTGGATGTCACTCTCTCCCACTCAAGAGGATAATCATGATAAATGTAGGTGCTCTGGCTAGCTGAGGGCAGGATTAGCCACATAGCCCCAAACTCACCAGCTTCCAGGTTCTGGAGATCATGCCTGTGCTACATCTCAAGTCAACTGCCAGGTTTAGCAGGAGACATGAGTGGACTCAGGGTAAAGATGTGTAAACCAGGTAGACCTCAACTTACAAAAGTTCTCTTAGTGATCATTCAAAGTAACAACAGCACTGGAAAAAAGTGACTTATGACCATAGCAGCATTCCCATCATGTGATTTACATTCAGATGCCTGACAACTGACTCACATTTATGACGGCTGCAATTTCCCAGGGTCATGTCACCATCTTTAGCCACATTCTGACAAGCAAAGTCAATGACGAAGCCAAGTTCACTGAACAACCGGGTTGTTAACTTAACAACTGCAGTGATTCACTTAACGAACATGGCAAGAAAAGTCGTAAAATGGAGCAAAACTCACAACAAATTTCTCACTTAGCAACATAAATTTTGGGCTTAATTGTAGTCGCAAGTTGAGGATTTCAAATCCAGAGACGAAAGAACTCTTTGGGAAGGGATGGGCCCACTATGAGCGCTTCCTTTATGCAACTGACCATGCAAGATCAGGAACCCTGGCTCTTTTCAGAAGATGCAAAGCAGCCTTGTGTCCACTCCAAAGCTTCAGATCCAAAGTATTAATGTGCTCAAACCGGGACCTTTCGACTGAAGAACATAACAGGGCAACTACTTCAAGGAGATAAAAACTACCATAATCAAGGAACTACGAAGGAGAAAACCACACATCTCCCATCATTGGCAGGGCAAGCTACTACGTATAAAGAGGAAGCAAACTACAACTCTCTCGCACTGGTGACGTTACCTACTTGGGCAGTGAAACATCAGCAAGCGAACAACCAAGCTCAGAGAGCATCTCAGATCGAGAACAAGAACTGAGATAAGAGTGGGGCAGAGTTATGAACTTCATGTCCTCCTACAAGGGAGGACAGATTTAGCAACTAGAATGACCGTTCTCTTGTTTATATACGGACAGTAGGAAGATGGGGGAAAAACACAGGCAACACTCTTGGGAAAGATCACCACTAAGTAGGAATTTCAGAGAAAGTAAAGAGCCACCTACAGCTTCACAGTTTAAACAGCGAGTTTCGTTTGTTAGTGTTCCCTGGAAGATTTCGTGGACCCACGTAAGCTCTGCCTTCTCCCCTTCATCACTCTCAATGCTTCCGTTCTGGAGTTTGCCATTCTGTTTTTCCTGCTTCTTTTCTTCCTGCAGCAAGTCCGCAATTGTGTTCAATAGATAGTTCAGGAATTCATGTGCGTCCTGCTGCATATAGTTGTCAAACAGCTCTGGTAACAAGAAGGCACACAACAACAACAACAAAAGCAGAGGAATTAAAATATTAGGCTGCCAGCCTAGTACGGTTAAAGTCATTACAGAATTTCAGATGCAAGGTCAGATACTAGGGTAGAAAGCAACGTGGGCATGCTTTTATCAAAAATGAGCAAAAGTGCTTAGCAAAAATAGGTTTTGAAGGAGGAGATGTGAACATATTCACAGCATGCATATAATATCATGAGTGAAATGATCACATTACTCTGGGACAGTGCAACTGCTATAAGTACATGCCAGTTGCCAAGCACACTATTTCTGATCACAGGACCATGGGGACACTCCAAAGGTCGTAAGGATAAGTCAATTGACTGGTTGTTTAGTTGAGAACTACCTGGAGTTAAGGGCAAAAGACAACAAACGATGGGCCCAGTTACAAAATGATTACCATGTGAGTCTGATTTACTTACTAACTAGTTCTCAAGGTTGGCTTAGTCAGTTAAAAGACATTCTTTAATCAGACGTTGAACCTGGATGCTCTCTACCATCTGTGCCTAGTGGTCACTATGGTGATTCGCTATTTGCAAGTAGCTTGATTCTTAAATTAACAGAATTTTTTAAAAGGTTAAGAGAGACAGGGAGCTTAATGGAGATGTGTGTCCATACATACCCCAGTAGAGGTAGTCCTCCACTTATGACCAGAATTGAGCCCAACATTTCTCTTGCTAAGCAAGACAGTTGTTAAGTGAGTTTTGCCCCATTTTACAAACTTTCTTGCCAAAACGGTCATGTGAATGATTTGTTAAATTAGTAACAGGGTTGTTAAGTGAATCTGCATTCTCCATTGACTTTCTTTGTCAGAAAGTCACAAAAGGGGACCACATGATAATGGGACACTGCGACAGTCATAAACATCAATTGCCGGAAATGTCTTAAGTTTGATCATGTGACTTTGGGGATGCTGCATGGTCATAAGTATGAAAAACAGTCTTAAGACAGTTTTCAGTGCTAACTCAGCGGTTGTAAGTCGAGGTCTACCGGTATGAGGGAGCTTCCTGTTCCCCCAAATCCCTAGTTCTGAGCGAGAGGCTTCCAAAGGCCTCCAACCACGCAGAAGCCTCCAGCATCCTCTCCCCTGAGAGGCTTCCTTACCGTTTTCTTTCCTCAGCCGGGAAATGAACTTCTTGGGGGGGATGACCCCCACTTTCTTCTTCTGGGTGGCAATGCTGTTGAAAAGGTCCGACAAGCACGTCAGAAGGGTCTCCTTTTTGCGGGCCTGGACTTTATAGGCCAAAACCTTTTCCCGAAATGGACGACAGAAGTAAAGGGCCTGGAGGACTGAGTTACAATAGCAGGTATTTCCAAACTGGGAGAACAGAAAAAGAAAAGTAACTGTGTGTGTGTGTGTGTGTGTGTGTGTGTGTGTGTCTGTCTGTCTGTCTGTCTGTCTGTCAGCAAAATGGTTATCCAACTGCAGGCAAAAGAGAACTAAGGAAACCAAGAGTATAAGGCAGGGGTGTCCAACCTTGGCAAGTTTAAGACTTATGGACAACTTGTAAACAATTTAAGACTTGTAGACTTTGAAGTCTTAAAATTGTCAAGGTTGGAGACACTTAGTAGATGATCTCCTGCTCAAGCAAGGAATTGGACCGGAAGACCTCCAAGATCCTTTCCAACTTTTGTTATTCTGCCTTCTAAATAAGCTGGCAAAGAAGAGGATAGAGGGAGGCTGACAAAATAGTATAAAAGGTGAAGGTGTTGCATGCAATATTCTCACAAAAAAAACCCCACCATTTGAGGGGAGTAGAATCTTTTTGAGGATTCAGAGCTGCAGGAAGCCTGAGAAGTTTTTGTCCCTGAATGCTTTGCTTAAGCTGAAACTGCTGCACTGGCTCCGAATGCATTCCCTCTGCAATCTCCACCTGGATCTGCCTTGGGGTTGCCTGCCTTGTAGGCTAGTTTGGGGGCTTTGTCAGGACTTCCTCAACCATGAAATGTCCCACAGCTGCTCGTCCCCACAATATGCCTGAAGTATTTCCTTTGTTGACCCTCCGTGAAGGGAGCTGACCCAGACTTTTTAAAAGCTTTGCAATGCCATTTGGCCCACCCTCCCACCCATTCCACAAAGCAACAATGCTGTTCAATTAGGGAGGGGAACTATGTCCTGTTGCCTGTCACTCCAGAGGAATCTGTTGCTATGCTGTTACGACTGTCAGCGATGGGTGGTGCTCAGGGCGAGGGGGCTGTTTGTGACCCGACTATGATTTATGTGTGGAGCTGACAGCAGCCAGAACTCTGATGGGATGCCAAGGAGGGTTAGAGGAGGCTCTTTCCAGAGTCAGCTCAGATCAAGGATGTTTAGAGAAGAGACCAGCACGCTTAGGAGGAAAATGTCCTAGGGATGAGTTAGACAGTATCTACATGCTTCCTGTTTACAAAGCTGAAAGCAGATGTTTGCATCTGTCACATTGGAAGGTTGCTTCATTTCAGAGAAAGAAAAGAGAATCTGAGGGGAGATGATCACATCTGGGAGAAATCATCTGACATTCAGAATACATCATCATCTTCATCTCCGCAACAGCTTCCTCCATCCACATCAAGACTCTCAGTATAAACCAGGTGTCTCCAACCTTGGCAACTTTAAGACTTGAGGACTTCAACTCCCAGAGTTCCTCAGCCAGCTTTCTGGGAGTTGAAGTTGACGAGGTTGGAGACCCCTGGTATAAACAAAACTAATATTTACCCATTGAAAATAATGTATTGGGAGCTGTGTGCTGTTCAACCCTAGGCTGTGGAAAGCTTTGATAGGGTGCTTTGGTTCAGTTAATCTTCAATCAAATCACTCCTGAAGCAGATTTGTGAATCTCTTGCCTCAAAGCAGCAAACTGAATGAAGATGAAACACTTTTTATTATAGCTTTGCCGGAGTCATTGTACACCCCTTCTGCAATTCCACTTCCCTGCAGGGAGAAGGGCCATGGACATTGACATGACCGATGGGTTTCAGCATCTCATGGTCTCTGAGCCTATTACGCTTCCCTCAATCCCACAGAATTCTATTCTTTTGGAATGCTCCCATCCACACATCTGGAAGTTCAATTCAGCTTTCAGATACAAGCTCCAAGCTGACCATGGATGGGTCCAGCCTTAGGTTCACTTCCACAGGATTAGGGCAGGATTAAACTCTCACAATCAGCCAGTGACGTGTGGTGAGGTTTATGCCTGGTGAGGCTCAGCTGGGCATCCTTTTGCGAAGCAGCTCAGCAGGGCAGCGGTCGGCCTCGGCGGTGGTGGGGGGGGAATTTGCATCGCGGGAGCAGCCAAGCGCCCGGGTCCGCACAAAGGCACTTGGCGGCTCCCGCGATGCAAATTCCCCCACCACCACCGCCGAGGCCGACCGCTGCCCTGCTGAGCTGCTTCGCAAAAGGATGCCCAGCTGAGCCTCACCAGGCATAAACCTCACCACACGTCACTGGCTGATTGTGAGAGTTTAATCCTGCCCTAATCCTGTGGAAGTGAACCTAAG